TCTCTGAACCAGTTCAGTTGCTTGCTTCTACGGCTGCAGTACGCTGTGTTTGCTGCAAACTGGCAAACTAGGCTGCAATTCTAGTGGGTTATGCATCTTTAATCTTTTTCAGGTACTGCATTAAAGGGGCTTGCTTCTCTTCTTAGCTGCTTATAAAGAAGAGCACCCCTTCGCTGCCACTGTCCTCCTGAAGGGGCAAGCTGCTCTTCTTACCTGCTCATAGCAGAAGAGCACCCCTTCGCCACCACTCTCCTTCTATAAGGCATTTCAGTTAGATTGCTGTCAGCATGTGGTTGGGGGGGCATTCAGCATATGGTTTGTTTTGGGGGGTTATTTAGGCAGGGAGTGTTGCCCAGAACAGAACCATACCCCCAACCTAAAATGCTAATTGTAAGTTATCTTTGACGATAGTGGTCCTGACAGAAATGGAGCGTAGAGTTAGTTCTGGCAGGTCACGTTAGTCAATCTTGCATCAACTGACACTCAGCTGATCCACGTCTACCTATAGGAATACGACGCCAATCATAATTCCCTTTATAAGGTCCTTTCAGTCATTATTCAGCAGCTATCGCTTTGCTCAGGAGCTAATCACCCACCTCCATCCCCAACTCCTCCTCTCGTCCAGTCAGGACTCGGCATTGGATATTTCTCGTTGAGTCAGACCACTGAATTATGTTGTTATATAAAATAATCACTTAGAACATTAATGATATCTGCTACATTAATAATTAATGTTGGTTCCGTTCTGTACCCTAGGGGGGTATTTATGCTCTCCCTGCTCCTATCCATGCTAGGCTGCATGGATGGGCAGGGAGTGTTTGCCCAGAACAGAACCATACCCCCAACCTAAAATGTATGCTAATTGTAAGTTATCTTTGACGATAGTGGTCCTGACAGAAATATATAATCAGCGTATATTTATTCTAGTGTGCTGAAAGAACAAAACCAGCCATTTCTGAAGAGCTTAAAATGACTAAAACACATTTCCCTCATTGTAAAACCCATCAGACAGAGTGATTTTATTATGCTTGCTAGTTGAAAAGCCAAAATTTAAAATCATATTCCAGTTCAACTATTTAAACTTGTTTTGCAAGCGTACTCTCAATGGACATTACATCACCTGTACTGCAAGGTAATGTACGTTTGTAGAACTGACACAAGTCAGCGGCACCAAAGGATCATGGGGGCTTGCACTGGCCAACGACAGGGCACATTTGGCATGTAAATAAGACTCAAGATTTGAGTCTCAAAATTGAGACTTATGATAACATTCAAATCAAAATTCAGACTATCAGGCCACTTATTCATAATTGTAATAGATGGACAAAGCATTATTGTTATTGGAAACAAAGGTACATGCTGTTGGAATGACTACACATGCTTATAAATCTAAAACATGCTTTTCTTTAGCTAGCAGCCATCATCATGCCCTGACAGTTTAACAATGGGCGGGAGGCTGGGGAGGGGAACGGGAACGAGAATGTTAATCCATCTGTGATGTGTTTCACAATTTTTAGATGGTGTTTTTGCAGTTCACTACAGCTTTTGAATGGCAAAATGAGCAGAATGTGGATTACAGATGCATGGATCAATCACGCTGCACATGTGAACACATTTGTCTGGAACGAAATCAGAAAATAAATCATGGAAATGCTGAGCATTCTCATTTGAAACGGTGCCCTGGGTTAACACTGAAACACGTAATTACATAGAGCTCATACAAGGTTTTGTTGTTGTATCCATTGACTACATAATAGGTCTTACTTATTCACCTTTGCCACCAGACTTTAAACAAACCACAAACCAAAGCTGCAAGTTCCCTAGGAAACTCCAAAGGTGGTCAAACCTTCAACAAAGGGACATCTACACTTTCAAACTGGAGTTTAAATCACTGTGTAAAAGCAGAAGAATCAATCTGGACCTGAACTTTACAGGCAGGTAAGAGAGCAACCTTCTCAATCAACAGATTGAAGCCTGTGAGGAAATCTTCCTACACGTTTCTCCGTTTCTCAAAGGAGCCGGAGGGGTTTTCATGAACAATCCCTTTTTTCAGGGTTGGGCCACATGAAAGAGAATGTATGTATCTCTCTGGCTGGTGGATCATTTAAGGATTTACAGATGTTGTGTATTTGTGGGAGCATGGGAATGGTTTAATGAGGGCCCTTCTCCATGTATTTCCTCCTATTTTGAACATCACAGACTAGATACATTGTCAAATCTACCTTCTGGTTGCTTGTGTAATCAATATAAGTCAGGAGATGATTTCAAATACACCATTTTGAATAAGAAGCCCACTTAATTGTACTGAATGTCCACTTGTGCATTTCAAAACCAAAAAGTGTATTTTTTAACAAAACTCTACTTGCAGATAATATAATATTGAAATAAAAGGCTTTTAAAATACTTTCAGTACACTTTCATGTTTTTTAACACACTTAAGCTCCTGTAAAAAATGTCAAATTAAAAGTTCTTCTTTTCTAAGCAGATTTTAAATCAGTGTTTCATTAATCTCTTGTCATGCTTTAAAGAAGCAGCTACACTTATTTTGATGTGTTGACTAACATACTAAAGCACATGCAAAGTACTTGATCATAATTTGAATTGTAGTGTTAATTGATATGACATTTAAAGTTAATATAATTTAAATGTACTAAATAGCAACTCCATCATTAATGTGCAATTATAAATATATTTAAATAACACACAAGTTTCAATAGATGTGACATTAAAGTATATTTTAGTTTAACAAAACTGCTTGTCAGTCCACAGTATAACCATATTTCAAAGACAATAGAAGTAAATATGAAGTAACATATAAAGATTAATTCCTATTTAAGTGTCAAAAACACTCTTAAGTACAACTAATTGCATTCAATATGAATTTAAACTATAATATTTTTTTTATTTAATTGCAAATAACATGCAATAAAATGTCCAAAAACATTACATTCAATCCACACTGAAGTACATTCTTTTAACCAGTTTTCAGTTACACTTTATTTGAAGGTGTCCTTGTTACAGTGTTATTATACATTTAAGTACTGAGTAATATTAATTAACATGTACTTACTATATGGTTAGGGTTTGGTTTAGGGTTAATTGCATGTAATTATGCATAATGTATTGTTATTATAATAGTAAGCACATGTCACATGTGTAACAAGGACACCTTAAAATAAAGTGTTACCCAATTTTCTTTACATTTTTAAATGCATGCCTTCTTTTAAGCCTTCTTAAGTGTCCTTCTTTTTCATAAGAGAATGCTAGTGCAAGGCAAACATTCAGGCCATATATATGATGAGCATATGGATGCATGCAAAACATAAAAAAGCAGCTCACAATCTGGGAAAGCAGTTGTGTAACATACAGTATAACTGCTTTTTATCATGTTAAGCATATAAGGAATAGAAATATAGTTATGTGCCTAAAGCTTGTCTGAAGGTCTTGCTGCAACATGGGGCACAGAGAGAAAATTAAAACCCACACAACTTCGCACGATGAGCTAATTATAGACTAATGATGATGCCCTTATTGGTGTACTGTTGACCTCACATTCCATATGCCATCCAGAAGCCTTTTCATCGTGGGATTATAGCTTAACTGACTGTCCAAAATCATAAAACATCAAAACGCTGAGCGAGAGGGTTGGACGCAGAGAACACATGGGTTACGTACAGCAGATGCAGCTGTGATATACATTCCTTAAATGAGTCATGCTGGCACACACTGACAGATAATCCCGGTTTAGAAGGGCCATTCCTCATTCTAGTACATTTTCATGACCCTGTTTTATGTCTTAATATGTAAGATAAAATAGTAAACCCACAATTTTTTAACATGGAGACCATTTTAGTTAGTATTATATTATTACAATACAACAATAATGTTTTATCAAATGTCATTTTTGTCATGTCCCTGGGTGCTGCACTAATCTCTAACATGAAAAATAAACTATTTTTAATGAAATATTTCAGATAATTCTCCATATTTTTCCTTTCTTTAATTGAATTGTTTGAAATGTATGAAAATTGTTTTATTTGGTATTCATTTCAAAGTATTTTTTAGCATTCTTTTCTTTTTCTTTTTTTTTTACTTTTCATCCATCCAGAAACTTTACATTCACTTGTAAAACATTCACATTCTCTTGTAAAAGTCCTGCGATAACACATGAAACTTGCGCTTACTCACAAATGCATTGAAATATAGTTTTTCCTTTGATCTTAATTTGCATTCTCTTGCAAAAGCATTCACTTGCAAAGCTAAATATTTGAGAAGTGAACACGTGCAAAGTTGCAAACGAACACAAAAGCATTGAAATATCATTTTTCCTACTGTGTTTTATTGTTTTGCATTCAAAAGGAAAAGTGCGAACACAAATTTTCGCAATGTAATGCAAAAGTTTTGCAAACAAACACACACACAAAAACATTTTTATATAATTTTTCCTACCATTTCATATTGTTTCCATCACCAGTTTTGCATTTGCATACAAACGTTTTGCGAGATAAGTCAAATGTTTCGAAAGCGAACAAAATTTTTCTCGGTGAAATTTCTTTGTCCCTTTAGACGCTCTGTACGTTCCAACCTGTTTGAAATATTATAGAAATTGGTATGATCATGATAAAATTTCAAAGGTAGTTAAAAATATCAATGGGTACATTCATCTCTTTATTTTCATCTTGTTATATCGCATCATGTTTATTTTCTTTCTGTTGTGTAAAGAAATTTGTGTCAAGTCATCATTATTAAAGTTAAGTTTGAAGAGAACATATTTTTGGAAGTCTGGAATAATTATAGAAATATGTCCTTAAGGCCATAGTACTTTTGTTAAAGTTACAGTATACAGTTCAAAAGATAATACACAAAAATGACCCAGCACATGATTTATGTTCATAATTTACTGTATGTTTTCTCTGTCATTCTTCTTCTTACATTGTCTAGGTGTAACTTGTAAGCAATCACATTAGATTCAGCAAGGTGCCCCATGTTGACCTGTGAACAAAAATGGGCAGAGCCATGCGATGCATTTCTGTCCCGTGAGACGTTTCAGAGAGCACACAGGACCCATCAGAACAGCAGGCTCAATGGCATGGAACTCTATAGTGAAACAAAGACTACAGCTCCAAGTCACAAACCAGAGAGGGGTCCCACCTCTTAAAACATTTCCAGTACATCAACATGGATCATCTTCTCTAAACACTGGTGCATATAGCAACAGCATGCTTCAGGGGAGGTCGCTTAGAGGCTCAAGAAACCTCTCTGAAAAAAACGCCAGGAAATCATTCACAGCCAAAAAAGCTCTGCTCATAGGTAATTTGTCAATGCTTCTCTAAAATGTGAGCAAAATGTTAAGCAAAGGATAAAATATATATTTAAACACTACATTACACAGGTTTTGTACACACCAATTAAACAGATACGGTGTCTTATATTAATCTTACATTATTATCTTATATTAAATTTTAATTTATGAGTCCAAAACATATTACGCATTATCCATTATATATATATATATATATATATATTAACCATACGTATCTGTTTGTAATGTGTTTAAAACATTATGTCTTGCACATGACCAATTATATATTATTAATATTATTAATTATATATAATTACAATTTCAAATATTATATTATATTATATTATATTATATTATATTATATTATATTGCCATTAGTATCTGTTTGCAATGTGTTTATTACATATTATGTCTTGCACATTATCAATTATTTATTATTAATATGATTAATTATATATAATTTCATTATTATATTATATTATCAAATATTATATTATATCATCAAATATTATTATTATACTATATATTATATAAGCAAATTAACTAAAACTCACAAAGAAATAGACCAAGCAAACAGATATGACTAATAATAGGATAATAATAATATATAGATAATAGATAATAATACACTTATTGTCTGGATTTCACTTATACTGCATTCTTTTTTTTTATCATCATTTTTCAATAATTCAATAGCCACCTTCCATTATTCCTTACTTATTATGCAAGGGATAATGCACAGTCAGCTGGTGATTACTGCAAAATAAAACCCATAAGGGTGATCATATTAAAGAGGTTTATTTTGCAATAATAACCATATAACTGCACATTATCCTGTTTATTATTCAGCTACTTAATTATAACAGTTAACAAAGTTGCCTAGTACTTTACTGGGATTCAGTTGTTGCTGGAAGCGGGAGCAGTTAAAGCCATTTAAACCCTATTAATCAAGATCTCTGTTTATGTTCTCACAGCATGTGGAGTGCGATGTGTCCTGTCACCACGACCCTCCAACTGCTCCACATCATCACCCCATAAAGACGAGAACGACAGAGCTCATTCCACCTCTGCAAGAGAACAGAAATCCAGTAGAGACTGTGTTGAAACAAAGAGTGAACTGAAAGTATGGGATCCATACACTGTGATTAAAAGAACAGGGGAGAGAGAAAGAGCGAGGAGCAGTATACACAGACAGAGAGTCCCGCTGGATTCAAGCCACCGGCCTTCCACTGTCCCACTGGAGAATCAGACGGGACGCCGAGCACTAAGCACACCAGGTGAGGCCTATACCATTTTTTTTAACCATTAAGAGCACAAACTGAACTGAATTGTTTTTGTTTAAAGGAATAGTTCTTCAAGAAATGAAAATATACTCACCCTCAGACCATCCAAAATAGATGAGTTTGTTTCTTCATCGCAACAGGTTGGGAGAAATGTAGCATTCCATCACTTGCTCACCAGTGGATCCTCTGCAGTGAATGGGTGCCATCAGAATCAGAGTCCAAACAGCTGATAAAAACATCACAATAATCTACAATTAATCCACACGACTCCAGTCCATCAATTAATGCCTTGTGAAGTGAAAAGCTGTGTGTTTATAAGATACAAATCTTTAAACCATCACTTCTGGCCAAAATACCAGTCCATAATTCATAGTAATGCTTCCCCCAGTCAAAAAGTCAGTCCCCTGTTGTCCTCTCACATCAAAATCCACCAACATATTTGTTTAGAACTGTTTTGGACTGTTTAAACGGTGCTTGATATGTGCTTATTTCTCTCCTGATTCAGACATGACAACCTTTTTCATTGGAGAAAGCAATATTATGGAAAGAGGACTTGAATTTTACTGAGAAGCAACCGTTTAAATAATACAAAAAAATCTTAATGATGGATTTGTTTATTACAAACATCCATCTTTTTGCTTCACAAGACATTAATTGTGGATTATTGAGATGCTGCCGTCCATTGGTGAGCAAGTCATGTAATGCAAAATTTCACCAAATCTGTTTGGATGAAGAAACAAACTCATTTTATTCTGCTTAACATCTTGTTTTGCATTTGACATAAGAAATAAATGGATTTGTTTGGATATGTTTAAAAAAACTATTTCTATATTGATTTGACCTCTTGGTTCAGGAAATGTGCTTTTTACTTTTTAAAAAAATTAAATACAGAAATATATTTTTCCTGAGATTCAACAGTTATTCTGTAAGCAAAGGCACACTGAGAGATTTGTATGATATCTGAGATTGTTTATATCATCTCGAAGGTCTCATGATCAAAGTTATAAACTAGCGGAAGAACGTTGTTGCTATGTTCTCCTTCTCAGAGTAAATAGTGTCAAATGCTTACAAGACACAAAACATGAGCAGCAAATTTAAAGATCATTTTCACAGTCCATTTCTCATACACTAATTCTCAATAATCTCATTCTTTATGGAGAAACTCCCATGTGTAAGATTCTCTGGAGAAGAAAAGATGACCAAAATGTCCTTCAAGATAGACCTCAACATTTTACTGAAGATCAGAATCTCAGTCTAACCCAATTACTACATCTCTACCTGCCTTCATCATATCAGCCGCAGGAGCAGAGAGAAGATACAGCACCAGGACAGGAAAATAGGTAAAACTAATACTTAACTGGTAGACTATCATCCTTAGAAAAACACAATTTTTAACACAGAGCTAGGCCTCCAACTTCAAAAAGAGAGTCTGATCAAGCACATAATGAAATGGACAAGTGACATCACTTACAGAACACTCCACTTACTTGATAATTTTTAACCAAGGTAAACAACCCCGTCCGAAAAGCATCTTCCTGCGTTCATCTCATTCAAATGCGCGTAAGAAATTTAGCATTTCACGATCATGAAACACGCGCAAGAGCTGGCTTTGAAGGGCACCTATTATGCCCCTTTTTACATGATGTAATATTGGTCTTGGGTGTCTCCAGAATGCCTGTGAAGTTTCAGCTCAAAATACCCCACAGATCATTTATTATGACATCTGGAATATGTCTTATTTGGGGCGTGTCTAAAAAAAAAAAAGAGCTGTTTTGATGTGTATCACTTTAAATGCAAATGAGCTGCATATTCCCGCCCCGTCTCCAGAAGAGGGTGTAGCATATACTGTTACCTACAGCAATAAACAGCCAGTAGAAGCAACATGACTGAGAGCGAGAGAACCCGGTGTTCAGCCATGCATATTGGAAATTAAATGCACTGACAGTGGGACGAAACAGTGCGATATTACTGAGCTCGCGCTGTGCTGACCTGTCATCGGTGACTGAGCTACCAAACGGACAGGCACGGCGCGAAATAATCTCACAAGTGCGGCACAGATCAATTAAAATACTTCAATAACGTACGCACACAAACACAGTTAAAAGGTTAGCCTAGCACTATAATGACATGACATTCACAAAGAGTGAAATGATTTATGCAGACATGAATGTATTAAGGTCGATTTTGAGGCGCATTACCTTTAAAAATAAAAGTAATCCACTGTGTCCTCAGGGGCTCAGATGTTGGGAGAAAATGACTCTTATGTTCAGTCTTACATTCAAACACAGAACACCGAGATTGATTACAAGACATTGTTGACGTTACAGCTGTTTGAGCACAGAGAAAATGGAGGACAGTGTACAACTGCTGAGGGCAGAAACTATGGCAATGCAGGATTGTCAATCAGCCGCCGTGGGCGGGGCCTAAGCAATGTGATGTCATATTGCTTAGAGAATCAAAACGGCATGCCAAGTGAAACTGATTTGGTTTAATGGGGTTAAAAAAATAAGGAGTGGGTGGATTTTTATCATTGTAGGGTGGTTGTGTTCACACACTGCCAATGTATTTCGGTTAATACAACAATGTAAAAGTGGATTTTGCACAATAGGTGCCCTTTACACGCTTTTACAGGTGGAAATTTACAATGAAATCGGCTCTTGGATGCCAAAATCAATTATTTGGGTCTGTTTTACTTTTAGCTGTATGTTACGTGTTTTATATTGAGTTCGATTTTGTTGGTTAGGTGTTCAAATTGAAAACCTCAACCTCAATCTTGTCATGGTGTCATAGTTATTCCCCAAACATAATTTCACGACGATAAAATTCCCCTGATGTATTTATGTAGGCTAAAACACCAAAAAACGAGCTAGCATTTTAGCCCATCAGATTCCATCGTCCTAAAGTCAATGGTATTTTAATGAGTTTTTGTTAAATGCCTGAAATAAGGTCTGTGGTTAATAGGCTACACACATAAGGTATTAATTTTATATTAGATACTTGGGACCCACTTTATATTAAGTGGCCTTAACAACTATGTACTTACATTTAAATGAATAATTTGGTACAATGTACTTATTGTGTACATACCTGCTTTTACATTGTACTTATATTTTTAAAATACCTGCGTGTAATTACATCTGTAATTAATTTCTGCAATTACATTTATAATTACACAGTTGACCCATCCCTTACACTTTAACCCACCCTTAAACCTACCCATACCACCAAACCTGTCCCTAACCTTACTCGTATCCCACCTCAATAGCAGCAAAAGTGTTTTGCAATACAATATGAACACAATAAGTACATTGCACTTAATTTTTGATGTAAGTACATAGTAGTTAAGGCCACTTAATATAAAGTGGGGCCGATACTTGTATTGAAAAAGTGATTGCTAACAAGTAGCAGCTACTGTAAATGTTGTTGGAGACAGTGAACATTACATGCTTTGTAAGAATCATAGACGTTTGTTGGTCACTGAGGTTATTTTCTGCAATGCAAAAAGCAGTGCAAAAATCCAATTGGATTTTTGTGGAAGGAACCAGAGTGATGCTAATTTCTGGGTTGGCCTACAAAAAATACCCCTTACAAAAATTAACCATGGTTTTACTACAAATAAACATGGTTACTATAGTTAAACTATGGCAACCACAAATTAACCAAAATTGGTTTTGCTACACTAACCATAGTTTAACCATGGTATTTATAGTAAAACTGTGGTTGTTATACAACTGGTAATCAATATGCCAAAAAACCATGGTTACTACACTTTAACTATCATAAAACCATCCCTGAAGGCTGCGCAGCACTCTATCGACGGCAAATGTTTCTAATTGACAGCATGTCTCTTAAACATGCAGCAGTATTGGACGCCTTGGGTGTGAGAACATGTTGAGGCTAAAGACCCTGTACTGTAAAAACTACATGAAACGGAATAGATGGCAAGCATATTCAAATGCCAAAAATAATGGAATCGTTCATCCATCCCTTTGAGCGGTTAATGAGGATTCATGAGTGATATGATAAGTCGTCTGTGCCACTGAGGCCGTATTAAGTGTCATTGTGAGCTGTGTGGTTAGTGTCTGGCATTCAGCTGGTGACAGTGTGATGTTCTCACTTCCATGGAAACTCACAATAGAGGAGGCCTGACTAGAGTAACTCATGCTAAGAATGGCATTAACCTGATGCTCACAGATGAAGTAAATTTAACTCAACAACTGCTCCCAACAGACATTACTAAGCTGCAAGGCCGTCGTCAAGGTAGGAATATTGTCTCAGTCCCTTTGGTGAGGGGGTCCCACTAAGGTCCTCTATCATACAGGCTATTAATTTGGCCAGGATACACTCAAAGCATTTTCAGAGAGCTAATAGTGTGTAAGTTCTCCAATCTACTCAAATTACAATGGACAGTTGTACATATTTTCATGTACATGTTTTCAGTTTCCCATGACTACCCTGTGCACTGCATGTTTTCAGTTTTTCTGTATCTCAGTATCATAGCAGCTGTAATATAGCTGTAGCTGTAGGTCTCCAGGGTGCAGCAATCGAGAAGGGATTTCTGGTTTACTTAGCCTTAGGATGTAATCATTCTTTATGACGTTTGGACATCTGAAACCTCATAGTTTTAGAAGTAATATGCTGTAAAATTATTTTGTCCTGCAGACAGTCTTTTAATCTGTGAACAAATATAGTCCACATGCATTGGGTGTTACTTGGCTGGAATTTTCTTTTAGATTAAACAAGATGTGGTGTGAACACTCAGCTGAAAGCTGTTTTCCACCTTTTTCCTTCAAGTGTTGACAATTTGTTTTCATTATAAGCAGCTCAGAGGTATATGAGAGGCAAGACGTCACAGAGGAACTCAGAGAGCATGACATCCCCATGGAGAGCCAAAAACAAGACATCACCGTCAATAAAACAGCAGATGAAGGACAAAATGATTCCACAGATGGCATGCGATATGATAATACAGATACCTGGGAGAATGACACTCCTGAGGAAACTTTTGAGAATGACATGATTGACGAAAAACGTCCACAAGAAGTCACAGATGACAACAGACAACACGAAATCATAGAAAATCAATGTGACATTGACAGATCGTTTAATATTGTAGAGGACAAGCAAGAATATGACATTACAGAGAAGACTGAAGGCGAATATAGGAGAACCAAATCGAATAGAAGTTCATACAAAGCTTCTGATGCCAAACTCATAATCAAAACACGTTACCCGGCCACAGCTACAGCGCTAATGTTCCCATATACCCTGATGGACAGAAATCCCTCTCCCACTCTCAGCGTACTGCCATCGTTTTATGGACCTTCATTTGGCTATCGCATCAGAACCACATCTGAGCCCTGCCGATCCAAAACAAGGGCCAGAAAAGCCTGTGATGACAACAGATCTACAGAGCCCATGAATGACATGCGACATACCATAGAAATAAAAGGAAATCCCTGCTTATTGAAAACAAGGGCTGGAATGCCAGTCAGCCCCCACCCCAAAATAATGAGCCCTGAGAGGGGGTCCCAGCCTCGTAAAATCAAAACCACCAAGACGTTTTTGTGGGGACCAGAGGGGCCCCTAGAGACTAAGACAGTGTGTGAGCTACACAGTCCTGTGAACAGGTGGAGAAGCGTGGATTAAGTCTGAGAGCGGTTTGACAGCACAATTGTGTGTGGCCTTTCATTCCTTTCCAATACAGAAAATCTGCTTTGCAAATTGATGTTTGATTGAATCAAAGCAGTGCAGACTGGAATGCTAGACCAATGTAGGTCTAACAACTTAAATGTCTTATGGCTTTGAGAAGAATGGCTTTAGCACAGGCTGTGATGTTGAGTTAAGTCCAGCAAGGAAGAGTGATAGACTTTTTAGGATTTCTGACACCCATATGGTCTTCCTCAGTGAAAGGCGCTTTAGTTGTATTGACACAGGTTATTATAATTCATTGAAAATTAAATCCCTGCAGGTTTTGGTGTGTTTTCTCTCTCTGACTTGATATAAAACTAGTACATCGTCTAAAATATGTAACTCCATCCAAAAATCATGTCTGGTGACTGTCTTTCAGCACTGGGAAATGACGTTACATAAGCCTTTTGAAGGCCAAAAAGAAAAATGCCTCTACAGCTGTTGATTTTGAAACTAAAATGGTACATTTAAGTGATGCATGGTGCACACTAAAAGGTCAGTTTCTGATAGTTTGATATTAGTTTCATGAGTTGTTTTGTGAACACATCCTTATAATATATCAATATGCACTGTTCAAAAGTTTTGGGTCGGTCAGTATCTTATGCTCAGCAAGGCTGCATTTATTTGAGCAAAATGCAGCAAAAACAGTAATGTTGTGAAATATTATTATAATGTAAAATAAGAATTTTCTATTTACATATATTATAAATGTAATTTATTCCTGTGATGCAAAGCTGTATTTTCAGCATCATTATTCCAGTCTTGATCCTTCAAAAATCATTTTTATATGCTGATTTGCTGCTTAAGAAACACTTTATCATAAAACATCTTATTATTATCAATGTTAAAAACGGTTGTGTTGTTTAATATTTTTTGGTGGAAACCAATACTTTTTTCAGGATTTTTGGATGAATAGAATGTTCAAAAGAACAGCATTTCTTCTCTAAATCACAGTCATTCTTTTTTAGTCTGCTATATGTTGAATGAATTATTCAGATTCTGAACATGTTCAAAGAGTGTAACTTGAGACTCTTATCGATGCCGTAGATGATCTGATTAAATGAACACTATAAAGCAGCAGGGTTGTGTGTAAATACCCAGAGGTCTCTGTCTCCCAGAATTCCCTTCCAGTTCAGACTGAGTAAATATTTGTATTGCCCTCAGAAAATGAGAGAGAGGAAGTTAGCTGGGTATTGATAAAGCCTGTGCATACACATTACTTAGCTGCAAGGCACAAGAAACAATCAAAAACAGAAGCAAAACATACATGTAGAAGTAAAAAAACACTGAAAGTAATTGCACTGATGTCATGAAAATGAATGGATGGTATGGGAGCAGACCGGGTCAGACGCTCCCAGTGATCTGCATGCTATTTCATGAAAGTAAAATGTCAGCTAAGCATCTTTTTTTAGATTCTATTTGCTTGACAAATGTTTATTTGCTTGTTTTAAGTTTGTGTTTTAATGAATCCAATTATTTATTATGAGGCAATGAATGGCGTCATCAAGAAAAGGTTTTGAACATTTTGCAAACAAATAAAACAAAATTGTTCAAGATGGTGTACTGGTTTGATTTATGATCCATCTGTAATGTAATACACAGTAGATGTACTAGGAAGAAATGCAAAACATAAATATGAAAGCATCTGCTCTCCTCTAGTGGTCATTTGCTGCTGTTGGCCCGGTAGGTAAGAAAAGCTTCCTTGAGAAACTGTAATTCAAAGCAATGTTTAGTCTAGCTTTCTTACCGTTTCTCCAACTGCCTGGTAAGCTTTAAGATATACCATGTTAAATCTTAAATGTATTTTATTATTTAAATGGTATTTGTCACAAATTCTCCAGACTTAGCAGTTCATAACAGTTACAACTTAGAACAGTTATATATTTCCAAACAGCTTGGAAAACAACAGATAAGCTCGTCAAATAGAATATGTTAATAACAAAAAATAAATACAAATAAAAATTAACATGGTTTGCAACTGGAAGACACCATATATTTCAATGGCAATTAAAAAAAAAAAAAAAAAAAAGATATTGCACAGTTATTAATATTATTAGAATTATGTATATGTACAACGAAAACAAAAAGATATTAGAGCATGTATTATGAAGATTAGTATTATTGATAAAAAGGAATATATTAAAATGTAATCATATATTTCAGTGACCACTGGATAGAACAAACATATTGTACATGAATATTATTAGAGAAAATGTAGATACATAAAATGAAAACAAAAAGGATATTAATTATGTATTTTGATTATGATAAAATAAATAAATCAATACATTTAAAAAGCGTATAAAAATGCATATAGCTACTAATATTATCTTCTATTTACATATAATGAAAAAAGGATATTAGAGCATGTATTATTATGATTATTATGATGATAATATTATTGTAAATAAATAAATAAATGAATGAACGAAAACAGTGTCTATTGTATATTACGAATAAACATTTCTCTCGGTATTCTTTATGTTATAGTCCATAATATGCATACCTTTCTTTTTCTTTTCTTTTCTTTTCTTTTCTTTTCTTTCAAAAATAAATATGAAAATACAGTAAAATAAGAAACAAAGTTAAATAAGAAGTTAACTTAGTGAATCAAATTAATTCAGATTGTCATACAGTTTCAGAAATGTAACCCTTGTTGTTGTTTTTTCTTTTCATCCATGCCTTAATTTATAAACGGCAGGCTCCTTCGTTGCATCACAGGAAACGGAAACACCGTGTGACAGCGTAACCATGGTGTGTAATTCCGTTTCCGTTCCAGTCGGGATTTTTGTGCGCTCTGCAGGAATGTGTGGAGATGCTGTCGCTGGGGGAGAGGGAGCAGCCGCAGCGTCCTGCTGACAGATGAACGCAGTAACGGCGCTGACACACTCGCATCCGCGCGGCTGCGCATCGGTCCCGTTACATTCCCGGACTCGCATGATTGACTGAAGCTGCCCCTCCTCATGGCGAAAAACACCCTGTCCTCACGATTCCGGGGAGTCGACATCGACGAATACGACGAGAATAAATTCGTGGACGAGCAGGACGAGGCGGCCGAGCAGCAGGGACCGGACGCCTGCGAGGTGGACGATCTCATCAGACAATATCCTTCAGACCAGTCAGACCATGATCGATTATACATCATCTCTCTTAAACGTGCCAGGAGTAAGTTCGTCTCTCTTAAGGTCACCCAAAAAAACAACAACCTTGTCCTAGTTCAGATGTACCTCATACATTATTTACGCACAGGTTGTGTCTCAAACCCATTCTGCTGCCTACCGAGGCATCAGCGCCCCTGTGATGTCCAGAAATACTGTCCGGTGTCTAGATAGACAGTTCATAGGCATAGAGTGGACGTTAATAAGAGTGAACCTGTCAGATAGTTGCTCAGTGAGTGTGTGATGTGGGGCAACTTTAGCTTTATTATAAATTATAAATGTTTTTGTATTTAAAGTAACGTTAACAATTTATTTAGTGGAGTTATTGGTGGAACTGGTTACTCTCTGTTCTAGTAATTTAATATTACGTCTTAATATTTTATAGGTTAGGTTTTAGTTATTTTTGCTATTTTATTTCTGTTTTATTGTTCTGTACAGTAGTTTTAGTTGTCGCTCTCATTATTTTTTCTCTTATTTTTCTGGCTTCAGTTTAGTTAGCTGCAGCTTTTAGCTGTCGTAGATCAATTCTAAGTTATTTTATGTTGTACATTTTGATTTAATATCCTTAAAGGGCTGTTACGTTAACACACCGACTGAGAATAAGTAATTATTTTAATTCCCTTTTTTAAAATAATTTCTTTACTTTTGGTGCCACTGAAATTTTAGTTTCATTTTAGTTTTAGTTTTTTATAACTGCATCCTTTAAATAACCTCTGAATAACCTTGAATATGACAGGGTCATGCAGTTTTGACCTGTGATATATATAGTCTTTGGTTGTGTTTTAAAGTGACACACCAGAGTTGCCATACTTAGAAAGTAAACAATTATTTTGTTTCGAAGAAAAAACTCCCCCCTTTTCCCCCCAACAGTGTGTGATGTCATTTATATAATCAGGTCATCAGCGGTTGTGACTGGAATTATGCATTTTTGGTGCTTAGAGGCACATTTTTAGACTGTAGGAGCTTTAAAGAGGACTGACTCTGACATCTCCACTAATATAATAAAGACGTGAATTGCATGTTTGCGTCTTCAGCATATTGTTTAGATACTGTTTAGATGTTTGTCTTGATGTCGGGTTTTGCATTTTCTTTTGGTCATTATTGGTTTCTTTAAAGGAGGATGATTTTGCGATGACTTTGTGCATAAAGGTAGTGAATAGTAAGACTCCGATCTTTAAAATGTTGAGTAGTTGAGTGTGTAATAATGATTGTTTCCAAACTGGTTTCTTGAACACTTCCTCCTCATCTTCCATTGGTCGGACAGGAAACATAGTCCCACTTCAAATTAAGTGTTGCTGTTTTGGGCTGTTCGGGATGACTGGCAATGTTTTTTAATATGCGACAGAGAAACAGTTTACACTTTTCAAAGAAACCAACCTATAAATGGTTTATTTTTAGTTGTCTCTCTGCATATAACACTGAAAAATATACATACGTAAACAGCCAGTGAGACAAAAGCCAGATATGTACTACTTAACACCAGCTTCTCTGTAAACTTTTCTAATACTTTCCAAACTTTTAAGATGTTCTCCACATCTAAAGCATGCTCTTCAGGGTTTTTAGGAGCGACTGGCTGGTTGCTCAGCTTTCCTTAACTACCTGTGATGCACAGGGGACATGATGACAGCATTTCACATCGCCTTGAATCCACCAATCAACTCCAAGAATCCAGCAGTGAAAGTAAGAGCCAATTCTGTTGCTCAGACAGCTTGATGTGTTGCTTACAGATGTTCAACAACACTGTTATTAGGGGCCCTATTTGTGCAGAACAGGTTGTCACAGAAATCTCATCGTGTGTCT